TTCTTTGGCAACAAATTGTTTTTGTTTAAATGCTGTAACAATTGTTTGATAACAACTCGTTCAATGACTTTAGAAATGAATGAAAGATTAGAGATAGGACGGTAATTTGATAAAACGTTGTCGTCCAAATTTGATCTTTTTAGAAGTGGGGTTACAATAGCATGTTTCAAATGGTTGAGAAAACTGTCAGTTGATAAACATTGGTTGGCAAAAAATGGCAAAAAATGATCTATAACAGTTCTGAGTACACATTTGGTGGCTCAACGGAAAAAAATTGGGAGAGAAGGTCAGAACTAGAGACAATTAAATCTAATGTTCCACCATGAACGTGGGTTGGTTCATTTATTCTATTTACCGATTGATATAAATCAAAAATTTCTAATAATTTCAATGCATTAGGGTCGTTCAAAAGTTCAACATGAATATTCACGCCTTCTACAAAAATAACATAATTTGCTAAAAGCAATTTTCGGTCAAAGACAGATAACTCATCAAAAAACAATGGTGATGGAATAGATGACTCAGGACGATAAATTGCGAAAACGACATTGTCACTGAAATCAAATTTTACAACTATAGCTTCAAACGTCTTAAATAAAGGCAGTGAAATTCTATAAAATTTAAAATGATTTTAAGAAATCACAATTATTCCACCATGTGAGGGTCGGCCGGTCTCAAAAAATCTATGAACACAAAATTAGGTTGCAGAGTGAGTCTAAGTGATAAATTTTTGGAAGACCCATGCTAGGATTTCGTAACAACAAAAAAATCAAAATTATTAGAGAATAAATCGCGAACAGTGTTGATCTTATTCATAATTGACCTAATGTTCAACAAACCTAATTGTAATTTGTGTCTTTTTTGGTAACTTCACGATCATTACCACCACCTTTATCGTTACCACTACAACTAACACTACCACCGCAAAATATATATATATTTATATACATATATATATATATATATATATATGCCATTATATGTGAGATATATATATATATGTCATTATATGTGGGATATATATAATATATTTGACAATAATGATAATAATTTGTATGATATCAATAATGACAATAATATATATATATATATATATATATATAATATATAATATATATACATATATATAAATATATATATATATACATAATATAATATTTATATATATTTCAATTGCAATTTATTTGACAAAAAAGCTGAAGCACAATCAACCAATAGTATCAAATTAAAACCAACTTTGACTAAAATCAACCAAAGAAGAGAAATGAAATATTAATACAAGTTAGTCAAATAGATACAACATAATAAATAAGGTAATAAATTTTTGAAAAATGTCAATAAAGATTAAGATCATTTTTTGAAATATCCAATGTTATTGATAGTTATTATTATTATTATTATTATTGAAACATTTATGAAGCGCTAATTAAACGAATATCTAACAAAAACTGAACTTAACAACATAATTGAAATAACAAACGAGAAATCATAATACATCGCACAGAAATAAGATTAAAATTTGGTCATAAACAGAAAAGTAATCGATTCAATATAACGAAAATTCGAAATAATATTTAGAACATGTCGATTAAACATAAAACTAAAACTGATCAATAATGCATTACAATGAAAATAAATGAGTTTTCAGTTTCTTCTTGAAATCACGCAGGTTTAGGTCCGGATTTTTGAGAGCAGCAGGCAGGTTGTTCCAAACACTTGGTCCAGAAACAGCAATGTTACGAGAGCCTATACGGAGACTCGTTGTTGGGATCAACAGCAGGTTTGAAACATAGGATCTCAAGTGTGTTCCAGATGCTTTTGAAGATCTCTTTTTGAACCTGTCAGACAAATAAGATGGAGCTAGACCGTTGATAGACTTGTAGACAAGTGTTGAAATTTTGAACAAAACTTTTTTGTCGACGGTTAGCCAATGAAGTTCCTTCAATATTGGAGACACATGATCGTATTTTAGAGTTCCAACAACAACTTTTGCGGCTCGATTCTGTATTGATTGAAGTACAGCCATGGATCGATCAGGTAAGTCATAAAACAAACTGTTGCAATAGTCGACGCGTGAGTGCACAAATGCATGAATCAACGTCTGCAACGTGGATGTATCTAGGGATTGTCGAATTTGATTGATTTTCCGGGATCGTCGAATTTGATTGATTTTCCTGATTTGAAACATGCATTCGGCTGAGAGCTTCTTAATGTGTTGTTTCATTGACAAACCTGAATCAATCATGAAGCCCAGATTAGCTGCTGTCTGACAAAATGGGATGACCTCATCATTAACAGTTATTGAATTTATATCTATTCTTGAAAGTTCCAATTGGTAAAAAAACAATCTTGTTTTGGTTTAGTTTTAAACAATTGTTTTGCATCCACTTATTGACCCCAGACAAACATTTAACCAGTTTGTCCAATTCTGATTTAAAAGAATCTGGCCTGCTCGTAACAATAATTTGCAAGTCGTCCGCAAAAGCATGACCTGTAAAACCAAATGATTCTATTATCTGACTTTAGTACTTCAGAGGTATAGATCAGGAATAGAATAGGACCTAGAACCGAACCTTGTGGCACACCAGACAGCATAACATTAACCTCAGACAATTTACCACCGAATGATACCTGTTGTGATGTACCTACCAGATACGACTCAAACCACCTCAGAACATTTATATATATATATATATATATATATATATATATATATATATATATATATCTATATCTATCAAATCAAATATTGTATTTATATAGCGCCAATTATAATTGCTTCTCATCAGCGCTCTCCTCGTATGAAGCATGTTGAATGCGAAGCCATCATCGGTTGAGATCACAAGGAGTTACCAAATAGGTATGTCTTTAGACGTTTTCTAAACTCAGCTAATGATATAAATAAATAATGATAACAAAGATGAGACGAAACGATAATTAATACAAATAAAGGATACAGAACGAAATCGAGACTCAAAGAGAGAAAGCATTCCATGGATCAAACGAGACAACCAACATTCCGATACGATTTGCGAAAACGTCATCAAACATGAAGAATGGCTAAGGAGAGAACAAAAGTTCACGCCCAACGTGGGGCTCATATATATATATATATATATATATATATATATATATATATAACAATATAAAAAATGTATGTTTAAAACAATAAAATGTCTAATTTTTCTGACATTAATAAATTAAAAAGAAATATAAAAAATTGAACAATGTTGAAAATAGTGTTGAATTTTTGAAATATTGCGTTAACAACAGTCTGTTACCAATATATACATATATATATATATATATATATATATATATATATAATATTATACACATATATAATATTATATATATATATATATATATATATATATATATATATATATATATATTGGTAACAGACTGTATATCTGTATATATAGATATTATATCAAGACTATATATCTATATATATAAATATTTTCCTGTATTTTTAGTTTTTAATAGTTTCTGTTTTATTTTTTTTAATATGTCGTACCGTGTTTTTATCATTGATTTTTACTTATATATATATAAAACATATTTTTTAGCTATACTCTGCAATTCATTTTTTTTTACAGAAAAAGCTTTTTTCAGTAATCCTTCGCCATTTTTAATGTAGTATGTTATAAAATATTGGTTGTATCTTATACATTATCTTATATACATCTGCTCTTTCCTAATTTATTGGCTTCAAAGGATCACTTTTTGCTGATCTATTGTTTCTATTTTTTAGTGGTTTCTTTGTCGGTAGCTAAGTTACTGCATTCTGTTGGATATTTATTACAAAATTTTCTTTGTTTATGAAAAATGCTTCGACAATTTTATGTTGAAACGGAATTCATAATGCGATACAGTATCTTTGTGTTTATGTTGAGTATCTTTCTAGTATTTGCTATTCCGTGGTTATTGCTATTCCATGGTTATGGATTACATAATTTTTATTGCACCTCTTTGTGTATCCATAGTTATTCCACATTTATTTTATTATTTATATTATTTTATTTCTATTTAATGTAACTAAAATTTTTATTACCATGATTTACTTTATTTTACTTCTACTTATTTTTTTATATTCATCATTCTTATTTTTCACGTTTCATAACGCGCATGTTACATTCTCTCCGTTTGACAGTTTCATTTACAAAAGAAAAAAAACATTCTTCCTCTATTATAAGTGGAGCTGCAAACGTCACGAATACAATACCAGCCAATGGTAGTAAAAAAATGATAGGTTTGAAGAAACGTCTGTTGTTAAAGGTTTATATTCTGCGGTTTCAAATGCGGTAAAGAAATAAAATTAGTTGACGGTTGATAGTTATGTGATGGATATTGGTACTAACCAAACATACTTGATATTTGATTTAGAAAATATTTATTTTACCACAAATACCAACCGCTTTTGCAACTTCGGGAAGGACATTTTGCCCGACGTGATTTAGGCTGACGACGATATATACTGAAATGAAATATCATTAATTCCCTGACGCCGCAAAAAAATTTATTTGATACAATTTCTTACTTTCATTCAAACCAACAATGCAAAAACTATTTTTACTTCGATTAGCATTACAAAAATTGATTTTAATTGAAAATTCGCAAATGCAAATTCATCATCTCTTTTGTTGTGCCTCGGCATGCCTTTTTTCCTTAAAAGCTTCTAGCTTACGCAAAAAGGATGCATCCATTCAGTTCGTATAATGAACAAAAAGAAAAAAAAAATTCATTATGTGTATATCAAAAGACAACTTTCATGCAAATGTGGATCTATTGTCTCTATGTTATTATACATTAATTAAGATGTATGGTTTTGCCCATGTAGTAACTTCATGTATTTCACTGCTTTGTTTAAATCTTTGAATATTGTTGCAAATTATACAAATTTTAGCTGGCACAAACACAGTGTGATACACGCGTCTAAACTCATGCTAATCGTTTCCACAACTAGTTTTAATTTTATGCATACCATTGAAATTGAAATGTCACGTTTGATCTCGTTCATCATTGTGATGGCAGTTTTGATTTGCAGAGGTACAGCTCAATTTCCAGACATGACATTCAACAGCTTTTGTCCACTGACGTCATTGGAAACGCAGCCCGCAGTCTACAGTGACAGATCTCCAGTCTCCAAGCCAGACATCTCATCTTTTTTGACATGTGCGATGGAATGTTTTACAACCTCCAGTGATAATTGTCTAGCTTTTACTTTCAAGAAAGAAAGTTGTTGGTGGCACAAGTCACTTGCACCAAACATTTCAACATTTGTTCAAACTCCAGAGAACAGCTCCTCAACATTTTATGTGAGTAATCAATGTTATTTTCGTTTTACTGCTTATTATTTCTATAAAATTTTTCGTTTTTCAACCTAAACTTTTATTATAAAAATTTTTTTAATAATAATAATTTTTTTTACATCAATTAGCATCCTACTTACATTTCCCACTAATGTTTGTGTGATCTTTCTTTTGTTATCTTGCTCTTGCACGTTCTGCAGTTCTTTCGTTCGTCAGGAATTACTATTTGAAAATTTTGTACTGGCTATTGAAAACTTCCCTGAAGTACACTCGAAAAAATATTAAATAGTCTTTTTGCTGATTTCAAATCTTAAAATCGTTTTGCTTAATCATGTTAACATTTCAAAATATTTTCAAATGTTTTTTAATTCTTATTATAAATGGTTGTGTCTATATTTCCCTCTCTTCTCTTCTTGTCCTTGAATCTCTTCTGTCTCTCTCACTTTTCTCTCTCTCTTTTTCTCTTTTTCTTTAAAAGATAATTCACTCACACGAAGCTTCAATTTATTTGATTAAGTTACCATGATAATTAATTCCGATGTTTCAATAACATTGAACGTTTTTAACAGCTAGACACAAGACCGTTGTTAGGCTAGTAAACACACATTTTTTAATTATCAATAATTTTGATTTTGATTATTTTGTTAAATATTTGAACTAAGTTACTTAAATAACTAAATTTTTATTTAACAACTACGGATAATTAGGAAATAAAATAAACAAAAATAAATGATATTGTTAGATCTAGGACTAAAATGTTAAGTTCGTCGAGTCCGATCACCTTTTATCAAAATACAAAAACTCGTTAGAAAGAGATAGCTCAGGCTGTGGTTCAGAACTTCTTTTTTGTCATCTGTTGGGGAGCATTTGGTCAAAGGAATATTGTCTGTCCTTTGAATTTTTTTTTGAATTTTGAATTTGTCCGCCGTTGTCTTTACTCTCTGTCATATGACATGCTGTGTGATGAGGTTACTCCTTAGTTCGTCGAGTCCGATCACCTCTTATCAAAATACAAAAACTCGTTAGAAAGAGATAGCTCAGGCTGTGGTTCAGAACTTCTTTTTTGTCATCTGTTGGGGAGCATTTGGTCAAAGGAACGACAGCTGTCCGCCGTTGTCCTGTCTTTACTCTCTGTCATATGTCATGCTGTGTGATGAGGTTACTCCTCATTTCTCTATTGATATAATTCTTAAATTTGTCGGGATGCATTCTAACTTTTCCAACTTTCTTATCAACATGTTTGTAATCCAAATCGTGAATCAAATTTCCAAGAGTCTTTTTTTAAATTGATTTATTTGCCGACGTTTCGACAATTGATTAAACAATAAATATGCCAAAAAGTAAAAGTACCTGTCTCAAATGCACGAAGATCACTGTCAGTAGTCAAGTATATCAAAATCTAACGATAAATCGATCATTTTTTGCTTATATAATATGTACAATGTACATTGACTTGACAGTCTTTGAACTCTACCACATGTTTACCCGATTGCTTCATATAGGTTACACGATCCGCTTCACACGATTTTTCTTTTCTTTCCATCAATTTTACAATTTGCTCATTAGCCACCAAGAGAGTCATTCCAATACTTTTTTGAAACCATTTGATCAAATATTTAATCTTTCAACAATTCCACATTGTTATCACACTCTATTAAAATTAAGATTAAATTTAAATTTAATTTAAATAATTTATTGATAAATCTAACCAAAGGGCCTTTACAGGCCTCTATTCAAGTCAAGGGAAAGAAATAAGCATATGATACTGATGCTAACAGCAAACAAAAATTATTGCTCAGCAAAACCATTATTGAATGAGTCAACTGCCATCATAAAATGTGTACATAATTAGTGCAAGTGAATGATATGAGATTATATTGTGACATACAGTGTAACTTCTCAGCCAGTTCCAAGTAGCGCTATGAGTAAAATTATTATTTAAAATTATTATTATTAGATTTATTAATTAGTTGTGTTGTTATTAGTGTTGAAACTTTGCAATGGACTTTGATGTCCACGAATTGACAAATAAAGTGAAGGGATGAAATGACAACTTAGGTCAGATAGGATGAGGTTGTGCTGTATTTTGTACAAATGGCACAAATCGAAAATTAACCTACGTTAAAAGAAAAATAAGTTTCCAGCCACACTACCACAAATCTTGACCACTCCCGTGAAAACTTGAATATTCTCAAATATTTGACCCCTCATCAAAGTTTTCTAGATCCGCCACTGTTTGCAATCCAACTGCATGTAATCTGGACAAGTATGGAAAATGACGTAGAGAAAATAGATTTGGTAAATCTTCTCTGGACATTTTTAACCTTTGTCACTTGATATTATAGTGTGGATCCCCTACTGATAAGCAATATTTCACCCAGAAGACGTACGTAGGTGCTAAAAACTTTTGTAATTACCCTAAGTCTTTATCTCAGGACTTGAAACATCTGGTGAATACAAGCGTGTGCGAGAAGAGCTTTGTGGGTGAGATCAGTCAACCAATGTGAAATGATGAGTGAAGCTGTAAATTAATTTTGTTAAAATTCAAAAAAATAATTAATTTTCTTTGAAATTGTACAAGAAAAAAATTTACTAAAAAGTCTGCTTAAGTTGGATTTCATTAGAAGAATAAACTTTACGTAATATTTTTGAAATATTTGTTTGCGTTGTCGTACTCTAAAACTATAATAAATAAATAGATAAAACAAAAGATTAAAATTTAAAATTATAGACGATAACATTAATAATAATAATAACAATGATAATAATAATACGAAAATTTTGAAAGCGCCTGTTGCACGATTTTGCACGATGTTGCCAATAAATGTTTTTCAGCATTCTCTTAAAAGCCGACAGAGAAGTGCAACTTCTAAGCTCCGCTGGCAGACCGTTCCACAAACGCGGAGCTGCATGACGGAAACAGCGACCCGCAAAATGTGACTTTGCTATTTGAATGTTTGAAAAGGAGGAAGATGATGGACGTAAGTTTTATCATGTTTATGGCGTGATATTACATTGAAAAGATAAATGGGGGACCGTGACCTTAAGACCTTGAACGTTGTGATAATGATTATGTTAGAAACTTGCTGCTGTACTGGAAATCAGTGCAATGTTCTGAGGACCTCCGATGAGTCTGAAGGCGCAAAAAATTATTCTTCTTCCCGCCAAGAACCAGTAGGGTAGACCTATCTTGAATTGACTGCAATTTTTTAGTCAAAGACTTGAAAGCGTTATGAAGGAGCGATTTGCAAGAGTCCAGTCGAGATAAGATTAAACAAAGAACAGTGTCGAGGCAATCACGGTCGTTATAAGATGCCTGATGCGCGAAATGACAGGTAAGTAGTAATTGCATGCTCTCAGAACGCTGGTGACGTGCCTGTCAAAAGTGAAGTTTGATAGAATTGTTATTATTATTAATATTTATCGTTCGCTCTCTACGTAACCAGAATTGTTTGACAAATTCAATCCTTTATATTAAAAATATAACAGAAAATAAAATTTATTAATTTTAACATCAAAATTTTAAAGCACTTTTCTCCAACGCCATGCATAATGGTGATGACTGATTGCGTGGTTTGTAACAAAATAACATTCTAAAAATTAAATTTCACACGAATTGAAGATGTGATCGCATACACATCCTGCTCCTACCCATTCACCCTCAACTTCGTTCTGTACAACCTGACTTGCGCCAGCCTCAATTCGAAAGCCAACGATAGCTGCAACGTCAGCGTGTGTCCTGCCAAGAACAGTGATGCTTATAAGTGGAAGTATTGCGGCCCGAGTAACAAGTGTCAGTTTTTGTTTATTTCATGTTGTCACCTGTTGATGTTGTTGTTAATTTGTTGTCATTAATAATTATTTTATTATTTGTTTCATCAATGATTATCACGGTTTATTTTGAATGTATTATATAGAAAAATACACATAATCATAATAATACATTCAAGCCTATTTCATGCTTCTATGCTCATCATATAATAAGAAGATAGTCAAGAAAGTGAAATTTTGCCATAAAATGTTTTACACAAAATTCGTTTTTTATTATAGCATTCGTGCGCTCGAAATCGTATCGAAATCTAATTTTTAAAATTTTTAAAAAATTTTTCAATAATAATGTATATATCCTTTGCATCTAAATCCTTTATTATTTCTGAAATTTGAAATAGATTGATGCACTTAGATGATTAACCAAGAACAGCAATTCCCATCCAGCAAAAGTGATGGCGATGCTTATTTCCTTTTGATCACTTGCTAAAATTAAATTTACTTTTAATAATAAATTTTATAAAAAATTACGTGACAGCACAACTGAGCAAGCCATTTAAAACATCGACCTTTTACTGCCAGTCTTTAGACGATGCCTTCAACACTTCAAAAACAGCTCCAACAGGTTCATATTTTTACATAATTTATTCAGATATGCTCATTTAATATTTTCATAATTTATTCGCACATGCTCATTAAATATTTGCATAATTTATAAATGAATATTTAAATAAATCAACAACAATTAACCTACGAATCGGTCGTGCTAGCCAGCCTGAGCAGAACAGCATTACTACTACTACTACTACTACTACTACTACTACTACTACTACTACTACTACTACTACTACTACTACTACTATTATAATATTTAAATCTTCGTGGCCACTAGGATGGTTCTTGATACAGGAGCGCGACAGTCACAAAAGCTTCGACTTCAACAGGACCTGGGACGAGTACAAACGCGGATTCGGACAACTGGGATCTAATTTCTGGATTGGAAATGTCATTTTAAATAAGTAAAAAAATAATTCTGTTTGTATTTTTTTAATAATATGTTTTTGTTTTGAATTATTCAGAATTCTTTCAAACAGTTGCACAATGCTATTCAACTCAAGCAGTTACCTAACCACAACCAATGCAGCTGAAACCATTTCTACAACTACCCCTTCTGTTGGAACTAAAATTTCAACCACAACAACTCTTGCTGCTTTTTTGCCGAATTCTGAAAATTGGACAACCACGTCAAGTGTTTTAACAGTTGAAACAGTTACAAAACCCCCTATAATAGTTAGATGGCGATTGAAGATTCAGTTGATGTCCAATGAGTTTCGCTGGTATTCCTTGGAATACGGAAATTTTTACGTTGATTCCGAAGTTAACTTCTATTCACTGAGCTTAAGCAAGTATGATTCCGTGGTTAGTGATTTGAAAGATGCCTTTCAGAATACGAGCAATTGGATATTTTCAACGTTTGACAAGCCAGCTTGGAGCTGTCCTGGTTACTCAATGATGAACGGATGGTGGGTCGATGACCATTCAACAGTTAATTCGAATTCATGCGCTAACATCAGTCAACAGATCAATATAAATTCAAACATGATGAGCAGTATAAAATTTTATGATTTGAAGAACAATCTGGTCAGTCCAATGGTCACCCGAATGTACATCTTGCCGGTCTATTCTTTTTCATATTAAACATTAAAAGTTTAAAGAGGATTGCTAAAAACTAAAAAACACTGTAAAACTTAATTTGTTATGTATACTGTACAACATGAATTGTTTGTTTAGTTAATTTTGTTCAATCTTCTAATTAAATGTGACAAAAACATTCATCAAACGATAACGCAAAAACTGTTAAAGATCAGAAGCACACATAATTAGAAACACACATAATTAGAAACACATATAATTAGAATCACACATACTTGTAAACTCACATAATCAGAACCACACGTAGTCGAAACAGCATTTTGAGGGCAGCATCTCTTGTAACATCTACTACCATCTCGTCATTGATGGCGGTTCTCACCATAATAATCTATTTTTATGAATTTGCTTCAATACGTTGCGAAGAATAATAACAAATCCATTTAAATGCTTTATATATTTATTATATATATGTTGGTAATAGACAATAATTTTTANATTATTATATAAATTCGGTAGAATTTATAGAATATTGTAAAAATTATGGTCTATTACCAACATATATATATATATATAATTAGAGAATTTTTATAGCGCCCTTTAATGCAACTCAAAGGCGCTGCTTTTTGCTTTTGTCCGGTGAAATCATCGGGAAAAAAGATACGTCTACAAATCTTTGCGAAACTTCTGAATAGTTGAACCATGTTGACGGAGGCTGTATGGCAGTGAGTTCCGAATTTGTGGACCAGCAACGGCAAAATTCCAATTGGCCACTGTTGAGTTTTATGTTTTATATTAAAACATTATGATTTATAATATACATTTATTTTTCTTTGGACCAAATGTTCTTTGCTTTGTATGTAACTTCACTTTTCCTTTTCTGTTGATACGGTGGATAATAAACAAGTCGAGAACGTTGCTTAGTTTATTTCTCTTCTTTTAATGTCTTTCAATAGTATATCAATTAATTAAACGATCTACGTAACAACAAATTTAACAGGTTATGGGACCCAGATAACGTTTTTCTTAATTAATTGATTTGACGAAGAAAATTTAGAATAAAGAAATATCGGAAGAATCCTTTGTGAAGACTGAAGTGAAGAAAAAACACGTGCTTCTTCATTCTCTGAAATTCGATATTTTGCTTCTAATTAAAAGGTAAAATTGAAAGACAAGGAAGAAATGGATTCAAAGCTTCAAATAAAACAGTTAAGTTGCGCAGCCGATTGGCCCATTTGGAAACGTCGTGTTCGAGATTTCATGGACTACCATGAGGGCGCACTTGATGTGACTGATGGGAAGTTGTCGAAACCAGAATTACTAGAAAACCAAACAGAGCAACAGGCAAAAGATTTTAAAAACAAATCAGATCTGTTTAGAAAGGCAAACAGTTATGCCAAATCAGTAATTGCGAATGCAGTCACAGAAGATACATACCAAAAGATAATGGACAAGAACACAGCGTTTGAAGTTTGGGAGGAATTAAAAAGAAATTTTGAAGCGTCAACTAAGGACTAACTGTTCCAAGTTTGTAGCAATTTTTTCGATTTCAATTGTATAGCGGATGTAGATGTATCCGGCCAAATTGCAAGATTGAAGACTTTATGGAACGAATTAAACAGTGGGCTTCAGGCATCGGGAGAAAATAAACTACCAGAGCTGCTATTAGTATGCCAAGCGATGCAGATTCTCCCAAATAGTTTCCAAAACTTCAAATCAAGTTGGCTAATGCTAGGTAAAGAAAAGCAGTCGATAGATGATTTAATCACTCATCTCTGTGCTTTCGAAAGAGAGATAAAGACTTTCGACACAATCGATAAATCATCAAGGCAGAACGCCTTAGTTGTAAATGTTGAAAAGCCAAGTTTCAACAAATCAAGAGATTTCACTAAAAGGACAAAACCAGTTGGTAGCTGCAACTATTGTCATAAACCTGGACACTGGGTTAAGCAATGTAGAAAGTGGGTCAGTGATGGAAGATCTTCTAAAAATTCCAAAAATGCTCCAGCAAAACCAAGAAATAACAATCTACGCGATGACAATAAGAAATCACTAGTTGTTATGGAATCAAGTGTTTTTGCAATTGATGAGTCAGCGTACACTGATGAATGGTTTTTTGACAATGGTGCAACGCGTCATCTAACTTTCCGAAGAGACATATTTCAAAGTTTTGAAAAATTTTCTCAACCGAGTAAATTATATGTTGCAAATGGTGATACTATAGAAGCTTTTGGAAAAGGAATTATTCATCTTCAAGTGAAAGTGAATAATAAATGGCAAACTGTTAAACTTACAGATGTCTTGTATGTGCCAAAAGTAAAAAGAAATTTGTTCTCAGTACTTGCAACTCAAGATAAGAACAGAAATAGCTCTTTTGTTTCAACCTCAAGATGTTGTCATCTACTTATTGACAATGTGATAAATGTTGTTGGAATAAGAAACAACAATGGAGGTTTGTTCAAACTTGTTGCAAAAACTGTTAGACCGTTGAATTCTGAAGTCGAAGTTAACTTTGTCAATGATCAAGATGCATTGCAGTTATACCATGAAAGAATGGGACAACAGAATAAGAAACGTGTTAAAATGCATCGATCAAGAGATGTTATTTTTGATGAGAAGGTTGTCAAACCAAATTCAGTGATTTTGCAAGAAGTTGTTCAGATGACACAGTTTCGATTGATGTTGAAATCAAAGATGAAAATAAAGAAACTTTGATTAAAGAAAATATTTCAACTGATGAAGATGTTCACAACCGTAGTTCAGTTTCATCTGATGAAGAAGATCAATCTGACTGTTGTAATCAAAAGACCAAAGGTATGGTTTCACGTGACAGGAATAATATCAAAAAGCCATCTCGTTATGATCACTATGTGAAGTACTTGAACCAGTGAGCTACAAAGATGCCATTCAAAGTGATGAAAAAGATGAATGGTTTAAAGCCATGAACAGTGAAAATCAAACGTGGGATTTGGTAAGTCTTCCAAAAGGTCATAAGGGTTAGGGTCTACAAGGGTCTACAAGGTAAAACACAATCCAGATGGTTCTGTTGAACGTTTTAAAGCCAGGCTAGTGGTAAAAGGTTTTTCTCAGAAAAAGGGAATTGACTATGAAGAAACCTATAGTTCTGTGGTCAGAAGTTCAACTATAAGAACACTATTAAGTGTTGCTGCAAATGAAAAGATGTCACTCATGCAGTTTGATGTGTCAACAGCATTTCTTTACAGCAAACTAGATGAAGATATTTACATGGAGCAACCTGAAGGTTTTAAAGATAATTCAGGAAGAGTCTGTAAACTCAAGCGAAGTCTCTATGGACTTAAACAAGCTCCAAGATTTTGGAACAAACGCTTTGCTGAATTCTTGAAAAAGAGACATTTCAAACAAAGCGATGCAGATACTTGTTTGTTCATTAGAATACAGGGAGGAAAGAAACTCATACTTGCACTGTATGTTGATGATGGACTAGTTGCAGGAACCAATAAAGAAGAACTAAAAATATTTGAAAAAGAATTAAAGTCAGAGTTCAAGATAACATCTAAACCTGCAACATATTTTCTAGGATTAGAGATTAATCAAGATGAGAAGGGAAATATTAATGTCAGTCAGTCATCTTATACAAGAATGATTCCTGAAAAGTTTGGGATGAGTCAGTGTAAATCCTGTACAACTCCGATTTCAAAATCTGAGGAGTTCAATGAAAACAAAAATGAACATGCGGAAGTAAAATTTCCTTACAGATCAGCAGTTGGTGCATTGATGTACTTGATGATGGGAACAAGACCAGATATTGCATATGCAGTTAGAGTAGCATCCAAAAGTTTGGAGAAACCCAGCAAGTCCAATGTAGCACAAGTTAAGCAAATTTTCAGATATTTGCAAGGCACAGGTGATGTCGGTATTGTTTAGAAGTCTGGTCAAAACAATACACTCATAGCCTACAGTGATGCAGATCGTGGAGGAGATAAATCTAGTGGAAGATCGACATCATGTGTAATCTGTATGTTTGGAGGAAGCGTGATCAGTTGGTTAACCCTCAGTTGCGATTTCAACTACTGAAGCAGAAATCGTTGTCGCAAGTGAAGCAGCTCGTGAAGTGATATGGCTCAAACGATTGTTGAACGACATTGTAGATCTAAAGAATAAGCCAGAAATTTTTGTCGACAATGAAGCAGCAATTCGTTTAGCACACAATCCAGAACTTCACAGAAGAACAAAGCACATCCACATTAGACATTTCTTTGTCAGAGAAAAGGTTGCAGAAGAAGAAGTTTCAGTTAAACGAGTTGCGACAGAACTTCAAGTTGCTGATGCTCTGACAAACCAATGGTAGGATCAAGACTTAAAAATCTGATGTGTGCGATGGGTCTTCAGAACATTTAGGTTAAGGTCATCTAATGTTTTAAATAAAATAAGAAGGTGTTGAGTTTTATGTTTTATATTCAAACATTATGATTTATAATATACATTTATTTTTCTTTGGACCAAATGTTCTTTGCTTTGTATGTAACTTCACTTTTCCTTTTCTGTTGATCCGGTGGATAATAAACAAGTCGAGAACGTTACTTAGTTTATTTCTCTTCTTTTAATGTCTTTCAATATTATATCAATTAATTAAACGATCAACGTAACAAGAAATTTAACAGCCACCATCAAAATTGTTTAAAAACAAATAACATATCATCTGAGCGTAATTGCAAGTGATGAATAGTTTTAGGTTTGTATAAACACCTTCCAGACAAGTAGCTTGGGCTTAAATCATTTAAACATTTGAAAATCATAACGGCAAGCTTGAAGATGATTTTTTTTCTATTGTTAGCCAATGGAGATCTCGTAGAGTGTTACTGTCATGGTCGTATTTTAACTCTCTGGAAATGATCTTAGCAGCACGATTTTGAATTGACTGAAGACGATTAATCAATTGATTTGAAACTCCGTAAAAATGCTGTTGCAGTAATCCAATTTTGAATGAATGAATGCGTGAACCAAACATTTCAAGGTGTCGTTATTGACTGATTTTTTACTTGCCTGAGTTAGCGAAGTTGATAGCAACAATCTTTAACCAATGACTTTGTATGTTGATCCATTGACATTGCAGAACTCAACATTAGGACCTCCGATGTTGATGGAGTTAATATTAATCTTTTTTAATTGCTGCCAAGTACCGACAGGCAGAATTTGTGTTTTGTTTTCGTTTAGTTTTAATTTATTATTTACCATCCATTCACTTAATCCATAAAAACAACGTAAAAATTTATCAACCGTCGCAGCTCTGAATTGGGGAAAGTTCAACTTTTTTCAAATTGAAAAAACTTAAAAAAAAATAATTATACCACCATGGTTAGGATCACTAGGTCTAATAAAATCTACGTATGAATACTTAGGTGGCATGGCTAAACAGTATCAACCCCCAGTGAACCATGCCATGACTCAGTGGTAACAAAATTGTCTAAATCCTCAGACAAAAAATTACAAATAATGTCTAATTTTGACGTAATAGACCTTATATTAAACAACGGTAAATTAAAAATTATTTTGTGGCGTTTTTGGGTGGCTTGATGATTTTCCAACGTCCGATCGGACCTCTGACCCTGAACAAAAAATTCTCACTACCAGTTTCCTTGGTTTTAGCCTATACATACATATATATATATATATTCTCACTACCAGTTTCCTTGGTTTTAGCCTATACATATATATATATATATATATATATATATATATATATATATATATATATATATATATATGTATATACTATTGTATATATATTTAGCTTATATATATACTATATATATAAACATATGTAAAGCATTCTGGCGGATTCGTTATTATTATATAATAAATATATATATATATTATATACACAGTATATATACACCCATATAAAGAATTTAAAACTTTAATATATATGTATTTTTTAAGCACATATTTTGTGATTGATATAATTTATTTTTTTTTGACAATAATAACTTCTATAAAACTGGTAGAGCCATAGAGTTTTAATCTGGGATTGTCCTA